CAGGAAAGTGACACATTAGGCATTATGCCAAAAGTGCAATTTTCGGCCCATTATACTCGCAGATGTTTGGTGACATGCGTACAGCAGAAATATGCGGCTTTCTATTTTTTCGTTGAGTTCAACTTCTGCTTGAGATAAACGTACCTGCACTTTGCCTGTGAAAAGCAACAGTTTCACCTAACTGCAGCCTTTCCAGATGTATGTACCTCTCCTTTGCTCACAACCCCACCAAGTCAATGCTTGGTTTATATTTCCCTTAAAGGAGAACTATGAGGCGAGTGCTTTTCACTCACCTCATAGTTCTAACCGACCTGTGACAATGAGACTGTCACAGGTCGGCTCAGTAGATCGGGAAGTGAGCGAACACATACCGGCGTTCGCTCACCTCTCGATCCTGTCACTGCTCTCTTGCCGTGACAGGGGAGGGGCTGGATTCCCCCCTCCCCGCTCCGATCCGCCAGCGCTGACTGGCGGAACGGACGGGGGAGGGGGCGGGTACAGCTGGTTCTGCCTCTAGATAGGCAGAGCCAGCTGTCACTCACGCAGCTGGGCGGATCTCGACATCGGGATCCGCTTCGGTTGCGGCGTCTCAGTATACCGCGAGCTATAGCTCGTGGTATACTGAGCTTAGGGTAACGGGAGGGCGCTAGTTTGTGTCCTCCCGTTACCCTAAGGAGAACTATGGGGAAAAGCCCTGACCCCATAGTTCTCTAAGAGTTTACAAGTTTATTTGCCTCTTTTATGCATCTTTATAAGACTCATTTCTTTTTTTTTTTCCTTCATGTAGGAGTAAAATCCCCAGGAGAGAGGTCTCGATATGAGACGTCTTTGAATGTGACAACAAAGAGGTTCCTGGAGCTGCTTAGCAAGTCGGCTGATGGTGTGGTGGATTTAAACTGGGCTGCCCAAGTGTTGAATGTCCAGAAAAGGAGGATCTATGATATCACTAATGTCCTGGAAGGGATCAGTTTGATTGCCAAAAAATCCAAGAACCACATTCAGTGGCTGTAAGTGATCAGACTGGGGGTTCTTTGACCTTTCTTCTCACCAGCACTCTAATGTAGTAAACCTTATAGGGTCATCCACCTAAGTGTGATATATTAGCTGGGGTCTGGTGGACTGAATAAGCCCCTGGCTTTTTATGTATTGGATTCTCCCGCAGTAAAATCTCCCTTCCATTCCAGCTGAGAGTTTTGGGTGTTCCTGCACATTTTTGAGTGTTCTAGAAACTCCTGGTACATTCTCCATAATATAAAATAATACAAGAGGAGCAGGAACTCTTAATGGCAACAGCAGATATGCAGGCTTGGGAGCTAAAACACAAACTCACCAATGGTCTGAGACTGCCTTCGAAGCTATCCTAGTTTTAACTCTCCAGCGTCCGCTGAGCACTGAAACTTGTTTTGGGTGGATTGATCTTTTAGTAGTTTTCTGTAGGGATGCATCAATACCGTTTTTTCGGTATCGAGTACCAACATTTTTTTTTCCGGTACTCGCCGATACCAAATACAGATTTTCGGAAGTCCCATTAAGGAAATCGGCGGTATGTAATGACTCACCGCCCGGCTTCCCGGGCTGGGAAGCCGTCGCCATGCTCCCTCGTCACCATGTGATTAGGGAGCATGGAGCCGGCTTCCTGGCCAACCGTGTAATGACTCGCCGCTTGCCTTCCCGATATCGGAAGTTCTATTATCGGTATAGGCGTGGGGGGCATGTACTCGCCCAAATACTCGGTATCGTCACTGATACTAGTATTGGTGCATCCCTAGTTTTCTGTAGGGATGCACAGACACTTTTCGAGTACCAGTGCAGATACTTGGCATTTTCATGAGAACTACCAGGGTTGCAGCTGGGACTGGGCTCTGGCGCTCCACCACTGTCCTGAAATCATTAGTCTGTATTGTTTTAGAAAAACTGACAATGAACATGACAATAAACAAAAATGTATCAGTACTCGTACTTGTAAGTACTCGGCAAGTACCAGTACTCGTACTCGCAAAACTGGTATCTGTGCATCCTTTTTTTTATATTTATAAAAATGAAATCGTACATTAAAACAGATGTACAAATCCCAGGAGCTCAGTGTGCTGCTTACAAATGGCAGCTGCCTCCTAATTTTTGAATTTTTCTCTAGTGTAGTCTTGGAGCTCAAAAGTATCGGTACTTGTACTCGTACCGAGTACTGTACTTGGTATCTGTGCAACCCTAGTTTTCTGTATACAAAATATAGGCCAGATGCACCCATAAATGGAATTTCAGCTTTGTCTAGTTGTAGTTGTTGCCTTTTGACTTCTTGTATTTCCCTTGTGCTTTCCTTGCATATGTTTTTGTTAAAGCCAGTAAAGCATTGACACTGCGATCAGTGAATCATGGGTGCAGTGCTCTGGCTCCTGTATCTGGGTACTAAGATACAGGCATTCAGTTACCAGGGAGGGAGGAGTAATGAGTTGACTACAGGTGCGGTGAGGTCACTGCAATTGTATTACACTGAAAACTACAAGTCTCTGTCGTTGTGGCTGATGGGACAAAGGATCTGTGAATAGATGATGTGGCTGTGTGGACGAAGTCACACACAGACATGAATATGGGTGTAACATGGAATCCTGTAGGTGTCTTGCTGCACTCCTTACCGAAAATGCGTCATGCTGAGCCCCATAAAGGGGACTCTGCAGGGCCCCGAAACGTTTCTTCAGTGTGAAATGCGTAAATAAAGAACGATCACTTGACCTGGTGTGCTGATGACACTTTGCTCCCTAACATGAAACATGGTCCCAAAGGTAAATTTGGCTTTTAATGTGGCTGGGAGAACTACCCCTAGTTACTGTCCTCCCAACAGGACATTATTTGTCACGATGGGAGGGAGATTTGTTCAATGTGAGGCTGGCACATGCGCATCTACCAGCTCCTGTGTGTGTACAGTGCAGGTGCCTATGAAGTTTTTTGTACTGGTTTTGTCTAGAAGATATGTTGTCTGCTCACCTTTTAGCTTTGGAATATCTTTATTTGTTTTCCTTTAGCATGACATGTAAATGCAACATTTCAGAGCCTCACTGTACCCCTTCATCAGGCAAAGTGTCCGCTTTGCCTGACGAAGGGGTCCTGTGAGGCTCCGAAAAGTTGCATTCACATGACATGCTAAAGGAAAACAAATAAAGATATTCCAAAGCTAAAAGGTGAGCAGACAACATATCTTCTAGATTATATACTATGGCGCCACCCACCAGTCGTTCCAGCACCCGTTGGATTCCGTGGTATATAACCGTACGGTGTGCGAAGGGGATATTACAAAGACATATGAACTGGTTCTCCGCACACTTTTTTTTGTGTTTTAAGTATAACGCACTTAAAGGTTGTTTTTTTTTCTTCTCAAAGCTAGTCATTGGTGGTAGCTTCCATATTTTGCCTACATATTTCCATCCCCTTTTTAAAGTGATGAAATTATACTTGCGCACACACACACACCCTACCCCTTTTTGGTTTTATTTTAGCAGTATCAGCAGTCTTGATTTTATTTCTGTTCTATTGTATAGGGGTAACCGGTCTGTGGTAGAGTCTAGCAGTAAATACCAGACATTGGTAAAGGATTGCCAAGAGCTTTTGGCTACGGAAGAGCACTTAGATGACCTCCTTCACCAGTGCACCACTCAAATGAAACTGCTTACCGAGGAGTCAGAGAGCCAACAATATCCTTTCTGTGATCATACCTTGGTTGTTATTGAAATCAGCATTTGTAGACCTGGATTTTGGGCAGAGTTAGAGTAAGCTAGAGCAAAAAATGTCAAGGTACTGATTTTCTGCTGTTCATTCCTTCAGTGCATGTATATTCCATTTAGTGTATCCCTGAAGTTGTGAGGGGATAAAAATCCTGTCGGGTTTTCACTGTTGCCTGCTTTGCTTTCTGGGGTGATGCAGAACCTTGGCCATTATTACTGGCATGTTGCCATTGTCATCAGTACAGGAGTAGAAGGAAACCTTTCAATGGGGGGAGGGGCCTTATTCCAGTGATGACTATCTAAGAATAGATTTATCCTTCTGTTAGTGGTATTTTATCTTGCTTCCTGTTGTGTATTCAGGACAGGAAGCAAAGGGCAATCTCCCCGGTGATGCACAGCAAAACACATTGCAATAGTTGAATGAAATGTCATTTTGTGACTTTATTAAAAAGTAAAAAAATTTAATTAAATGTCTGTGTTGGAAAAACAAATTGCACCGCTCCTACACAACACACGCTAGGGGGTGCAAGTTATTCAGGCCCGTTACTCCAATGTGCCTTTAATCTTTCAGGTGTAGGGATGTCTGCTTTTTACTCTAAAGCTGGCCATACCCCTGTAGATTATCTGCAGATTTTCTACAGTCAGATGGAAAAAGTGCAACAAATTCTATGCTAACATGTGTGGATGGAGGAATCTCCCACTGGGCCAAGCTTCAGTATCTTGCTAGTCAGCCCCACTGGCTCTTAAAACCCCTGAAAAGTGCCTGCATCCAATCAGATTGTTCAGGAATTTGACAGCCAGCAGGGCCGACTAGCGAGATACTGAAGCTCGGCCCAGTGTGAGATTCCTCCATCCACACAGTTTAGTGTAGATGAAGTAATCTGTTGCACTTTTTCCATCTGACCATATGCTGATAGAAAACAATATAGGGGTAATGCCAGTTTAATGATTTGTTTGTCACATACCAGTTTTCTACCCTCAATGAATCTGTTCAGTGTGCTAAGAGATTCTGTTTAACAGTACTTTTTCCTTGACCGTCTGCACATTGGGATATGTAACCTGCCAGGACCTTCGCAGCATAGCAGACCCATCAGAACGGATGTTGATGGTCATCAAAGCCCCACCAGAAACCCATATGCAGGTTTCTGATCCAACAGAGGTACGGAAGGATCAATCAGTCTGTGTGTGTGTCAATCGGTTGTAACTGCAGGAATACATTTTTATTTTAAAGAGAAAGTGGCGGATAGGACCTGATTTCAGAGGTGAAGCAGTCATCAGGTTTTCATCTCTCACTTTGGGGGAATCTCTGACACAACTTACAGAATTATTGCTGTGAAAAAGTGAGAGGATTAGACTCAGTTAGGGTTTTATTACCTGTCTGTGACCTCTTTAGGGAGATCTTTGCTTATATCCTGCGTGGTCACCAGAATATGGGGAATTTCCAGCAACCAAAGCACCCTTCTAGTAGGGTGGAAAAGAATTGACATCTGTTAAGTGTATTTTGCTGTTTTACCTTTCACTGGGTGTTATGACACACATTTTTAGCAGAGGTGAACATAAAATCACAGGCCCATTGTATACATATTAAAGGAACCCTATGCATAGGATGCCTTTGCTTCTTCCCTCATGGGAATGCTAGTTTTCTGGCTGTCTGTAACTTAATCCTCTTAATACTCTCCTTCCCACTGCTAGGGCAGGACAAGCATCTGGCACTCGGCACCATCAAGGGTCAGGTTTTTGCTCTTTCTATTCTGCTTCAAAGAATGTTGGCCGCACTCTTAAAGGAGAACTATGAGGTGAGTGAAAATCACCCAACCTCATAGTTCGAGCCGACATGTGACAATTAAACTGTCACGCATCGTTTCAATAGATTGGAAAGTGAGTGAACACATACCGTCGCTCGCTCACTTCTCCATGTCCCTGCAGGGAGCCGTGACCGCCAGTCACGGCTCCCTGCTCTGATCCTCCACTGTTGACTGGCGGAACGGACGGGGGAGGGGGCGGGTTCAGCTGGCTCTGCCTCTAGATGGGCAGAGCCAACTGTCAATCACACAGCTGGGTGGACCTCGACAGTAATGTCGGTATCCGTCCCGGCTGCTGTGGTCAGCTGCACTGCATTCAGAAGGTTAAGGAGTTTGTGTCCCTCGATGGATGGGGGTTTTGCACTTGCTGTTACATCCTTTCTTTGAGTCCATTGAGGGACACAGGTCATGCTCTTGTTACTTCTTTGCTACAAAACCTGAGGAATGCTGGTAGTGGGAGGGATTTTCCTGGGCTGACCTACTGTTTTGGGTTTTGCACTGGAGGATCGGCGAAGGGGGAACTGACAGTCACTGCTCTGTGTAGGAAGATGATCGGGAAGGGACTGAGCGACGGTATGGTTTCACTCACTACCCGATCAATAGAGGCTCTTACTATTGGGATGAGAGTAAATCCCTCACCTCATAGTTCTCCTTTTAAATATGAACGATCGGTGTGTGTCCCATCTCCGCTGCAAGAATGCAAAAAGTGTTGTATATTACCTTTCTTAGATGTATATGCCCAAGGCATGCTTGGCTTTCAAAGAAAATGCACATCTTTAAAATATTTGAAGTATTCAGGGAATACCTTATTTTTCTTCAAACACCAGAAAATATTTTCTGTTGGGTCCTCCCTTTTACTAATCAGCACAAGGTTACATACACATGATGGAATGTATTCTTTAAAAACTGTTTGGCATAGAATATATTTTTTTCTAGAGATGCACTTTTTTAATTTGTATGTTTGCTTTTTAATAACCCTTATTGTGTAGTTCTTATGTCTTTCCCATGTATTGCTCTTCCCCCCCCCTTAAGGCTTTACAGATATCTCTGAAAAGTACGCGAGGGCCCATTGATGTTTTCCTCTGCCCTGATGACTCTTCTGGGGTCTGTAGTCCTGGTAAAAGTCCCACAAAAGCTTCCCAATCCATCCAGTCGCCCAGCTCCAACGAATCAACGACCTTAATACCTGACCAGGATATCGGCCTAGGACTACTATCATGTGACCAAGGTGAGAAATGCGGATTTAGGATCATTGTAAGACCGGTAACAGCATTTACCATTGGAGGCTGGATGCAGGACGACCAGCTAGGTGGGACAAAGCCAAAGTTCCCTCTAGTCCAATTAAAATGCATAAAGTAGTTTTAAATGCTCAAACCTATTTTGATCCAGATCAAGAACATATACAGTGCCTAGCAAAGTATTTCTTAAACCATTTTTTCCCAAGCCCTAAGTCATGTTTCTAAACATCTGGCTCCTACTCTCTCAGCACAGCTTCACTGGACGTCCTGTCCAGTATGAGATAACAAGGGACAGCACAATCTCCAGCACCTGTCCATCTGCTAGTGTGGAGGAAGGGGGGGGGGAGTTACTTCCAAGGAGCCACACTAAAAACAGGATATCAGGGCTTGGCTCACAAGACCAGCTAATTTTGTATGAAACTAAAATTTTAAAGCAGAAAATTTTTAAGCCTTGGAGATGTGCTACACCCACACTGCAAGGGTTAAGTGCTCATTTATGTCTAGGTGCAAAATCAAAGTTATAATCACCTGCTCCTCAGAGCCAGCTTGCTCTTAGACCGGGCCCTTCTGCGTCGCTCCCCCTCCATTGCAGTGATCTAATATCCCGTGAGTCATCACATCCTCTACACTGTATATATGATGTGAAGATGCCGAGGGACAACTCAGCGCTGCAGCAAAGGAGGAGAAAGGTGGAAGGGACCAGTCTAAGAGCAAGCTGGCTCCATGGATCGTGTGAATATAACTTTTATATTCAGTCTTTTAGTCTCCACTCACTCTTTCCCTACCAGGCAAGGCCTGTGGAAGGGTTCAACCTCAGGGGTGTCACTTCTGCAGTAGTAGCAAGCAAGGTAATTTTAATTGGCCAGAGCCAGTGTCTGTCAAGGAAAATAACCATAGGTGTCTATTCACAGAAGGGTGAAGAGTTTGGAGAAGGCAGGAGAAGAGAACAATCTAGGACAACATAGCTGAGCTGGAAAGTCAACTGAATAGGATAATTTTTCCAAATCGGCTATTGTGGCCTAGATTGTTCACTTCTCCTGCCTTCTCCAAACTCGTCACCCTTTAGTGAATAGACCCCATAGAGTTGTAATGATGGCAGTGTGTGTTGGCATGTAGATGTTTACTGCATTAGCTGGGCACTAGAAAGCGTGACAACACTCCTGCTTGTAATGGAATTGGTGCAGTAAGAGCATCGCCCCCCATTAAAAAGGAATTGGCGTTCAGCAAGAACTTGCAGGATCAACAGGAAATATTTAAGATTGCAATCGGAAACAATAAAAAGCTGTGATTTACTGACCTAAATGACCTAATTCATATGTTAGCTTTATTGTGGTTAGAATTAAAACGAATATTTTGAACAAAAATGTAATTTTGAAAGCGGAGATGAGGGTTTAGTACAGCATATTTGCATATGTCTGTTTTGTATTCTCATTTGAATTTAGCAGGTGAAGCTTTGGGCTTTCTTTTTTTTTTTTTGCAAGGCAGCAAACTGCTTGTAAGCAGGTGGGCTTTGTACAGCAAGTCACTAGCATAAAACAAAGCAAACATGTGCTCATCCGAGCAAGTAACTAAACTCAAGTCTCTTCCTGAGTAAGAGGGTGCGCCCCCCATGGTGCTAAAACAAGCAACGTGTATTCACCCAGCAGCAGGCTCCCACAGCAGGGGAGAGAGCCCCGAGCATCAGTCAGCTTACCTATATAAAAATCTGTACACAGTTGAGACAAATGGCAAGATCTGGCTACCAAGTAAGATATGGACTTAGGAATAGAGGCTTATTCCCACCCAAATAGTACAAAGCTTACAGGACTGGACATAAGTTTGAGGGGAAAAAAAATCAAGTTATTAGTCCTCAAACCAGGAACCCCTCACTATGTGTAGGTGAAACATAAACACTATCCTCAATTCTGCTAGCCATGGGCTAACGTATCCTCTTCTGTTTAACCGGTGGGAATGACTGCCCCCTATCCTGTATCTGAGCAGTGTGTTTGACTATACTTTTGTGAGATGTGGCCTCTTTCTGGGCTGTATCCAAGAGTCCCCAGTGACGCCTATTAAGGAATGCGTCGTTGCTGTTTTTTCAGTATCGGGTAAGAGTACCAATATATTTTTTTTGGTGGGGGGGGGGGGGGGGGAGGGGACATTAAAGACTAATGTTTGTTTTTGGGGGGGGGGGGGGGGGGGGGGAAATGGCTACGTGTTAATGCCAATACCGGAAGTCCCAGTAAGGAAGCTGGGTGGCGTGTAATTAGCCGGGAAGCTGTCTCCTCATCCCTCATCACAATGTGGCGAGGGAGCATGGAGCTGGCTTTCTGGCCAATTGGAAAGCCGGGGGGAAGGGAAATGACTCTTTCCCCCCCAGCTTTCTGATTAGCTAGCTTCATGCTCCCTGGCGACGAGTGAGCGGGGAGACGACTTCCCGGCTAATTACTCACCATGCCAAAGAGACGCGGTGGGTAGTAATGATGACTCGCCCTCCAGCTTTCTGATTTGGCCAGCTCCATGCTCCCTGTTGACTAATGAGAATGGAGCCAGCTTCCCAGCCAATCGGGAAGCTGGGCACCGTGTAATGACCAGCTGCCCGGCTTCCTGATACCGGAAGCAACACCCAAACCATATGTTAACCACTTCAAGACCAGGTGTTTAGACCTCCTTCCTGGCCAGGCCATTTTTCAGTGTTCAGCGCTGCAGTCCTTTGACTGACGTTTATTCCGTCATGCAACGCTGTACTGAAATGAATTTTATACCATTTTTTTGGGAACAGATAGGGCTTTATTTTGGGTGTATTTAATCACCACTGGGGGTTTTATTTTTTATTATAATTAGGAAAAA